ATATATAACTGAACCGCGCTCTGGCCCACCTCTTCCAACCGAGCGCGGCACAGAGTGATCACACTAGTTAAACGAACCGGGCTTTGGGGGTCAAACACGCTCAGGCACGGTTAAGATTGCCTATAGTGTGACTACACCCTTATCTCCCGCATCCCGCACACACGAGTCTCTACGCACTCGCCCATCAAGTGTTGTCCCGCGCCGCACTCTGTTGCGTTGGGTCCCGTGATAGTGCAGGTCTCTACTCAGAAGGTGCCCGTTATAATGTTATGAATGAGGCTCTTGGACTCTGAGCATAACTTGTTTTTCTATAACAAACTATAAAATATTTTCTATAAAAACGTTAATGCCCTGGCAGTGGCAAATAGCTTATAGCGGTACTTTTAAATGAAAAAAGTGCATAATACACTACTTTTGAATTCATTATTGAATTTTATGCATAACAATGCGATTAATCGCGCTTAATCGCAGAAAATCATGCGATTAATCGCGATTAAAAAATTTAATTAATTAATTGCAATAATGATATTAATAATGTCACATGATGAGCTTATGTTTAAAAATGTGAGAAAGCCTAAAAGAATTTTGGGCAGTTTAAATATCACACTTGTACCAATAAAGGCCATTTCCACTTCTATTAGTTGTACTTCTATTAGTATGTGGGTTTATGCCTCTGGAGAGGCTGTCTGGATCTTCAGAAATATAAGATACATGATGCTCCCCCACTTTTGCAGCCTGATTTCTTGCTGTCATAAATAGTCATGATAAAAAATAAAATGACATATAAAAAACAGACATCAGCGATGTGCACAGAGAAGGGCTCTCTGCCTTTTTTGTCATTACTTCTGATAATCATATATTAATTATAATATATGAAATGAATAATGATATTAATAATGTCACATGATGAGCTTATGTTTAAAAGCATGACGAAGCCTAAAATCATTTTGGGAATATTAAGAATTTTTAATGTTTTTGAAAGAAATCTGTTATGCTCACCAAGGCTGTGTTTTTTTTAATTAAAAGTACTGTAAAACAGTAATGTTATTATGAAATATATTATAAAGTTATTAAGTTATTAAAATAACTTTTTTCTATTTTAAAACATTTAAAAATGTAATTTATTTCTGAGATAGCAAAGCTGAATTTTCATCAATTATTACTCCAGTCCTCAGTGTCACGTGATCCTTCAGAAATCATTCCAATATGCTGATTTTGTGCTCATTTAACTTTCGGTCACACTTTATTTTAAGGTCCAAGTCTTGCTATTAACAAACCATTAACTATGACTTTTGCCTCAATAAACTTCTAATTTGCTGCTTATTAATAGTTAGTAAGGTAGTTATTAAGTTTAGGTATTCTGTAGGGTTAGGGATGTAGATTATGGGCATGCAGAACAAATGCTTTATAACTATTAATAAACAGCCAATATGTTAATAACAGGCATGCTAATAAGCAGCTAGTTAATAGTGAGAATTGGTCCCTAAACTAAAGTGTTACCAACATTTCTTATTATTATCAGTGTTGAAAACAGTTGTGCTGCATAATATTTTTGTTTCTTACTGACCCTAAACTTTTTTATGGTAGTGTACATTGTTTGTTTTTGCACTAATGTCTGACTTATTATGATAATTTCATATTTCGGTTTGCATCCATCAATGTTCAAATAAAAAGAAAAAATATAGTTAAGATTTTTGGTTTAGATCACGAGTGCACCCTAACACATGTCTACACCAGACACTGTTATAATCACGTCACTGTCTATATACTGGATGGTTCAGTGCAAAAGTTCAGAATCCATTTGTATGTTTTACTAAAGTGGGTCAGAAATAGAATGAGGCATCCAGTTTAGACCTTATAATTATATTGGGCTCTATATGCATTTGTCGTGTCACTTGCATCTGGTGTAAACGGAACTGACAAGAGAGAATAAGTAAATGAAGAAATTATTTTTACAACCAGTTTATTCAGAGATATCAAAGCTGCCTTGGATGAAAAAAAATTTAAAAAGTACAATCAAAAGGTCAAATGAGTAATTTGTAATGAGTAATGAATACAGCTGACATACTGCAATGAAGGAAATAAAAGCAACTGAAAATCTGGGGTTTGTATGATTTTCTCCTTATAAAACTTAACTTTCAATGACTCATTGCTTTTTTAAGCACAACATATTGAGCTTTAAACCACATTTGAGTTTTAACTAATTTCTCCCCCTTGTAGATTCAGAGATAGTGTAGTTTTAGAAAGTTTGTTCACAGCAACTTGTGAAATTCACATGCTCTTAAATTGGGCCCTTTGGGGCCCTGTGTTTCGGTGGAGAGGGAGAGAGAGTGAATGAGGGAGAAAGGGCTTTGAAAGATTTTTGACAGGGATAGTGCAAAAGTTACTGCAGCATGTTTGATCGTCTCATTCCCGTACACAAGGGTAAAGTTGCACAGAAATTGAGTCAAACTCATCTGATCAAGGCTGAGGATATGAGCAAACTGGAGGAACCTCGTTTTAGATTCTCTATACTTTGCTATTTTACTCTGCCCTGCCCAATCAAATTACAGGAGCTCAATGACTGGCTGATATCATTGCTGTGTCGTTAAACTCATGCTGCTTAACACAATTTACCTTAATGAATCTGGTCAATGATTTGCCAGTAAGTACACAAACAGCTTTAGTTTGTAATTCATAGTGAAATGCACTATAAAATTTCAATTTACATTTAGTCAATCAATATTAATTAGCAGCTGCAGCACACTCCTGATTCAATGCCCCAAATCTGAATCAGAAATGTATTCAGTGTAATCACAGTGATTCAGATAAATTGCATCACTGGAATCTCTCCAGCACACAAATAGCGTCTCATCCAGTGCCACAACCACCAGACATTGAGAGCCCCTCAGATATTCGAAATAAAGATCTAACAAGCGTCAATATGTGGTCACATTCAGGGTCTCATAAAACACGCATGAAGAACAAGCATCATATGTGTTGCTTTTGGTCAGTAACATGCTGTGGATTTTGGGGGTTTGTATAAAGGGATACGCTTCTTTTTTGTCCACCTGCAGGCACAAGACCCTCAAGTCCTGGAGCAGCTCTCAAAAAACATCACCCGCATGGGACTGACCAACTTCACCCTTAACTACCTCAGGGTAGGCAGAACAAAAATAGTTCATTTGTTCAATTTCCCTTACAAAAAAGTGTTGAGTAGATACCATGGTGAGTTGATGGTATCAGAAGATAATACCATGGTGTCAATAATTAATAATTAACAATACCATGGTATATACATATATATACACACACACACACACACACACACAAAGTCAAAAAGTGAGGTCCAAAAACTCATGATATTATGGTATATGGTATGATATACTGTGGTATATGTCCAAAAAACATGATATTACCCTGGTACCATGTCCAAACAGAAACATAGCTATTTAATTTTTGTATGTTGATGTTAATCCTTAGACTGCATATATTGATAAAAAAAATTCAAATATCTATGTATTTGTACATTTTGTACATTTATGTGTGACTAAATGTGTCTGCGTGTGTGTGCGTGTTAACACAGCTCAGAATTTATTAGCCAGCTTCATGGCGGCTTTGTTTATTCTCGTCATTTCAGTGTGAGTGACAGCTCCGTTTTGCAAATGGGAGAACAAGAGATGGAAAGAAAATGAATTGGATAGAGAAAATTAGCATAACATTAATGAGCGTTCCCGGTTGAGGTGCGGCATTGTGGGTCTCTCTCTGCGCTGAGCTCGAGCTCAACAAAGCACAAACTTGTTTATAGCGAGGTGCTGGGAGAAGCGAGAAAAAAAGGCCCTTTCAAGTTTTTCAGAACAACAGTTTTTCTCCCACTGAGTGTGTCTTTCTTCGATGTTGTTCCACGCATTAAACGCACAGCTTCGCTTATAAATGCAGAGTTAAAATGCAGCGGCGCAGCCTAAGCCAAATTGTGAATTAAATTTGGATTAGACGCAGCTCTTGTAACAGCAAGTCTGTGTGCCCTCAGCCAAATCTGCACCTGTTTTTTTACATTATGGACAGGACAGAGGGTTTTTGTACACTGTATACTTCACTGCACAGGATCAGTATATAGTAAATACAGTCATGTGGCTTGTCCTATATTTTTATTTAGAAAAAAAAAATTCAATGGGCTCTGAAAAAGATTAATCATTCATAATTTTTTGACTGATTTAATTGAGAGGTCAACCTCATGGATTTTAGTAGCACACTGTAGTTCCTGTAAACAAGATTATTTTTCCTCTCACCGGGGTAATTTCTCACGATCCTTACATTGGTGTGCTGTAAAAATACCTCGTAAAAGTGACTCATTAGCGTCGCTTGAAAAACCTCCATTTGTCTCATCGCGTTTATCAGTAAATCCACACCGAGGATGTTTCCTGTGCTCGGACGCAACAAGACCGCTGTCCGGCGAGATGGACAAGGAAGCTTGTAGGTTTCCTCACATTCAGACTAGAAATAGCCCTGCTCTGTGGGCCCGGAGCCAGAGATTGTTTCCCTGAACCTGTGGAAGTGAGAGGATACAGCAGCGTTGGGATATGATCCTGTCAGTGGGAAATGATTAGAGTGTGTGCGTATCCGTGTGAAAATGTTTAAAATGGTTAAACTGACATTAAATGATGACTTTTCTTGTAGGGCTGGGTTTTGACACAAATTTCACAATTCGATTCAATTCTCATTCACAAGCTTGCGATTCGATTCGATTCCCAATTCGATTCGATTCGATTCAATATCGATTATTTTAGATATATATCAGGTACAGGACATGACAAATTTTCTCAAGAAAAAAAAAAAATCTCTAATGCTGTAAAATATACCTGAGAGTCAATAATATGCCTGACAGATTTTTTAGGCTATACAACTGCTTCAATTACACTTCATGAAGTTTTTATAATTAAAGTTACAATTACATAATAATATTTCTACTTCAGTTCGTTTTTTTAATAAACATTTAAATGGTGGCTATCATAAAAATATATAAATTAAACAGTAAAAGTTATAATGAATACTATATAGTGCATATATTTAGCAAAATGCTCCTCTCTACAGTTTATTTTTCTAGCTGACTAATGAGTTTATGGTCACCGAATATGTTTTTTCTGAGGTAGATACACGAGACAGGATACGGATTGTAAAGTTGTACTCTTTCTTTTAACTTACCTTCGGATGTTTAGTCATGATTATTTTGTGCTGAAACTGGTATTAATGTGGAGGAGATGATCAGTTCACGCTACAGCGATCACTCCACAAAACAGCGCCAAAACGCCATTTATTGTTTAAGTACTGCAATACAATGGACAGAATTTGAAATCTGAGACTTTTTTCTTATTAAAAGTACCAAAGCACAATGCTTATTGCGATTTATTGGATGGGAAGTGCCCTTCAACACTCCGTCCATTAACTGAAAACAGGCTAGACTTAGACAAATCGATTCTTGGGATTTAAGAATCGATATGGTTTTGTAAAGCTGAGAATCGATTATAATCGAGATATCAATATTTTTTACCCAGCCCTATTTTCTTGTGTGTGTTTCTTTTAGTTGTGTGTCATTCTGGAGCCGATGCAAGAGCTAATGTCCCGACACAAGACCTACAACCTCAGCCCGAGAGACTGTCTAAAGACCTGTCTGTTCCAGAAGTGGCAAAGAATGGTGGCCCCTCCAGGTAACAGCAAATCACGGTCATCTGTATTACAGGACGCTCCTAGCGGCAGCAATTTGTGCTCTATCAGATCTTTACGGATGTGTGTGTTTAACGCCGTGGTCTTTGGGGAAATATGCTCTAATTCAGCACTTCGGTGGGACCTATCAGGGAAAAAGAGTGGGAATTCTGTGGATATTGTCTCTCAAAAGAGAGAGTCGATTCTGAATCGCCTTAAGTCGTCATATTTTCGAATCTTTTGCCTGTTACCGGTATATGTCACTGGGTAACACATTTGCATAATCCCCGCCTGCCGACGAAATACGAACAGAGTCTGACCTGGCCACAAACACTTCCGATAGTTAGTGTGTTTACATTATGTTGAGAAGATGCTGTGTTCAAGGATACCACAGAAATACAATTCGAATCTTTTGTTGTGTGCTCGTCATTTTACCAAGGACTGCTTCTCTAATCTTGGCTTTTATCTCCTTTGGTTTTTATTTTAATTAGTTCTAACA